TTTTTTTTTTCCCCCAGTTTTCTTTGTTCATTTACTGAGTTTATTAACAAAATATTTGTCAAGGCTTAAGCACAAACCCAAGCTTCACCGCAACTGCAACACAGAAACGGACTCTGCCCAGCTGATTTTAACTGTAACTCAACCAAATTAAGAAGAAGATGTAATGAGTGAAGTTCAACCTGGGAATGAATTTACTCAAAACCAGTACCAAATTAATAATCACAACTCAAGGAGCTAAGATCTTATCCCAATCGCTGAATTAATCAAGAAAATTGGGAATGGGCGATGATAGAGTTAGAGGAGAAAGAAGAAGATACGAGAAGTAGAAGAAAATAGATTGATAGAAATGATTTTACATCCACGCAGAGACCCATTTCTCCCCTGTTCTGTACATATATAACTTGAAATACAAAATGAATGGAAATCGTATTCCCTTTACGAAAACGCAATAAGCAAATGACACTTGTGGACCCCACTTTTGAAAGCTAGCTACGGTTGGATCTTTTCCTTCTTTCCCCCCAATTCTTCCATTGTGTTGCCACTGCCTCATCATGATAGAAAATAGAATATGGGGAGGGAGAAATTAGAAAATAAGAAGAACAAGATGAGGATAACTGTTGAATCTCTCAACAAATTTTTACTAAAATGTCAGAATATTACAATTCCAATTAAACCAAAACGACACCGCACTCCTTCACCAAACAACATCGCACGTATATAAATTTCAGAGATTACTGTTGGTTCCCTCCTTTCTTCCTTCTTCTTCTCCCTTCTTTCTTCTAGCTTTGAATCCTTTCCTTCCCCAATTGCTCTTCATATGACAATATTTTCCTGTGTCATTATGCTCTTAATACATAATTTTATGTCTCTTTCATTATTGTGGCTAACCTTATAAATGTATTCACAAATGCTTTGACTTGTCGTGAGCTCATTTGGTCTGGATTTTACTGGCAAATCTTTAAGGCTTATAAGGAGAATTGATTCTCTGCATGGTTGGACAAGTGGAATAAAGAATAAAGATTAAACTAATATAGGTATCATTAGTGAATGTTTTATGGGATATGTGCTTATTAGATTAATGTCAGGCTTGTTAGATGATCATCTCATTTAAAACGGATAAGCCATTACTTGCAGGATTCTTTTTCCTTGAATTGATTAAAGGGGGCTGTCTGAATGAAGGTAATCAACTTGTGGACGTGAACTGTTTAAGTAAGTCAACTGTGCTATGTGTAGAAGGAAAAATTGCCAGGGGAATTTGATGTAGTACATCACAACTAGAATTAATAGTTTTTAACTACAATTATGTTTCATCTTTTCTAAGAGTTTATCTTTTAAGTTTTTTTGTATAGTTATGATAGGATTTTATTTTTTATATAATTAGGATTATATTTTCAGATAATTTCAATTTCTTAATACCATTAGAAGTAGGGAATAATTTTGCCCATAAATATAGGACTATCGCACACTTTTCATAACATCAATCATTATTCAATCAATATCAAAGTAAGTTATTCCAAGAATTTTATTATCGCTTCCGCACTAGTTTTACTCATACGTAGTTGTAACACTTGTTTGTTATTAACCAGCAATGATGTTATTGTTATTAAGTTTGATTGTGAGTCTTCAAGAAAAATAATTGTTGGAACTTTGAAATTGTTGGGATGTGCATTTTAATCTGGTTGGAAGCCAGAGCAAAAATGAGCTTAGTGGTTGAGGGTCTAATTATTCCTAATCTCTATGAGTAATTAGAGGGAACTGAGTTATTTGAAAAAAGAAAAGTGTGTTGTACAAAAAATCTCTATATAACTCATGCATTACTTACTCTTGCATGGAGAACCAGCTGCACAAGATTGCATCTAAATGGCCTTGAATCATATCTAGAAATGATAGAATGGTGGTGTTGACAAAGGCACTTTCATTTGCAAAAGCACTATCAGGTCACTATTTTTTTACATATATTTTGGGACGAATATACAGGAATAAAGGACCATAGATCCTTTCTTTATCCTGAATGGAAACAAAATAAACGTTCTTATAGCTAGGTTGAACACCAACCACCGGAAACCTCAAGTTGCTACAATGCAATTCAATTAAGTGTCAGCAAATCATTCCATATACATTTCCTGATTTTAGCTGCCACTCTGTTTTGTTGCGAATTTCTTCTTCTATTGCCAGGTGCTCTTGGACACATCTATTTAACTCTCTTTGGTGGCCATTCTTTTAGGAGAATGTGTGATTAAAAAGGAGAGAAAAAGTTTTGGGTTTACGCGCAGAATATTTTATTATGTTAATGTGGTTGAAAATGATATTTTTTAAAAAAGAGATTGAAAAGAATGGGAATCAAACAGGGGCTGCACTGCAAAAATTGTGTGATCAGTCTAATGATAGTTTATCGCTCAAACTATTATTATTATTATTATTTTATTTATTTATTTATTATTTTTTTTTGGGGAACCAACAAATGAGGCAGTTAACAGAGAACATAATCAGCATACCAAAATGTTGTATGATTCCACATCCCAAATTTTTGGTACTTGATTCACAAAGTTTCTGATAGAATTACTTGTCTTTGATAATTCCAAAAGGATTATTATTGATCTTGAGTAGCAGGTGTATAATGCTGGCTAACTAGCTGATTTTAAAAGGTTTCCTTGTGCAGTTTTTCTGATACTATTAGGAACTAATAATAACCTCTTCATATTATAATTTGAGAAGAATCAATTTTTTCGTCTATTTCAAGCTTAAACGGAAGTCATAAGTTCCATACTAAATGACATGCCTCATCACAAATAGCTAATGGTTCACATTGTACTTCGACTTTCAAGTGGTGCAACTCACAGTTTAATGCACAACTTCTCAACATTCTTCTACATAAGCAATCAAAGTCCAATTGGAAGAATTATACTGAGCTAAGCTAATTCTGGAATCAAAATGTTTCGATTCTTGTTTCCATTAACTCTCCTTGTTTACACTTGCAATGCTTCCGTGCAGGACTTCTGCGTAGCAGACTTTAAAGCTTCTGAAGGGCCAGCATGTTACACCTGCAAGAATCCTGCAAATGTAACAGTGGATGATTTCGTGTTTTCTGGTTTTCGATGGCTGGAAACACCACCAACATTAATAATGCTGCTGTGTCTCCTGCATTTGCAGCTCAATATCCCGGACTCATTGGCCTATGTCTCTCAATTGCACGATTGGACTTAGCCCCTGGTGGTGTGATAATACCAATGCAAACCCATCCCGGGGCTTCTGAACTTCTCCTTGTGAAGGGTTCTATGTTATGACTTTCATCTCTTCGGCCAATGAAGTTTACCTCAAGAAACTTGATCTTATGGTATGCCCACAAGGGCTCTTGCATTTTCAGATAAATTGAGGTGGTTGAAAAGCAATTGCTTTTGCAAGCTTTAGCAGCCCAAATCCCAGACTCCAAATAACCGATTTTGCATTCCTTGCAAACAATTTACCTTCTATGCTGGAGGCGAAGACCACATTTCTTGATGATGCTACAGTCAAAACTCGAATCTGTTCCTGGTGGCACTGGCTAAGTTTGCCAATCGTTCGTTCTATTTTGATTTCCGTTTAGAGTTCAGTTTTGTTGCCTTGTAATTGTTCTCTATGATTCTGTATTCCCAATGATGTTAACACTTAAATCCTCCAAATTCTCGCAGAATGGTGTAGCTACCGAAATTAATGCAGTCAATTATGTCTCTCCTAGAAGTTGGATAGCTACCTCAAGTAGTCTTCACATGGTTGACATTGGATCTTCTGAGTGGCCAACAATCTTCGAATGAAATTTGAAGATCAGGTGGTCCGCCTCCCATGGTTTGGCTGACAGGTGACAACAATCAATCAAGAAGTACTCCGTTTGCAAATGGCCGACCAAACTACGATTTCTACTACCAGCTCCTTGGCTTTGCCAAGACCATAAACAACCTAAACCACCATATTCCAGATGACAGAACTGAGTTCTTGAGAGTACTAAGAAGCATGCAGCCCAAAGGAGTTGTTCTTTCCTAAAATAACACAGATTGTAGCTGCAACAACTGCAGCGATTCTGGAAAGGGATTCTCGAGGGCAGTGGAATACTTGTGGAGGTTTTTGGACTCGACAAGTGTATCATAACGGGTTTGAGAGTGATGAAAGAAGAATGATGGAAGCAGAAGCAGCAAAAGCATTGACAAATGTGGCAGAGATGAAAGGAAAGAGAAATGGTGTGAGAGTGAGAAATGCTGGCTTCATTGGAGAACTATTTGGAGAAGAGACCACTGATGGAGCCAGGGTATTGCTGAGGTAATATGGCAGCAATTGGAAAATTAGATCAGAAGACAGATTACTGTGTCAGCCTTTGGTGGAAAGGGCAGCCGGTATAGTCTTGTTTGTCATGGAATATAGATCAGAAACGTTGTTATAATCGATGCTGTTGTGACATCAATCTTCTCTTTCCCTGTTTCAGAATGATTTTGACAATGTTTTATACTGATTTCGACATTCTAAATCCGTAAAACTCAAGTGCATCAATCTTTTCTTTCCCTGTTTCAGAATGATTTTGACAATGTTTATTTTATACTGATTTCGACATCCTAAATTCGTAAAACTCAAAAGTCATTAACGAACCCTGAACCCTAGCTATATTCATTCATTTGTCCCTACACAGTCAAAAGATGCATTGTTTCTGGGGCATCATGTGAATAATGCTACCTTAAACGCAAAGAACAATTGCATCAACATATTTGTAAATCAAATAATTATATATACAAACGTGACATACAGACAAATTAATGTATATAATCCGATATTCATGTTATTGTATTAGACTGGAATATGTTACTATGAGAGAATCCATCAGTGATTTGACACTCCTATAATCTCTAGCCCGTAATCCCAAATTTCAAAAATTGCTATTAACGTCTCACCCGTAAGACGCGCAAATCCTTTTCCAGCTATTTATTACAGAAGCATATTAATCATCCTCAAGAATCATATATTCTTACAGAATTCCGGATTGTCTGCCTACACACGGGACACTTGGGTGATATTTCACGTTCAACTGAAAGGGCACAACGCTGGCAGCAGACCATATGTCCACAAGGAATGAAAGCAGATCTGCGCCTTCTCATCAGGCAAATTACACAAAGCTCACCATCAGGAATGTCTCCGGTCTCCTCGTCTGCTGCAATCTGAGGGGAAACATCATTACTGGCAGAATTGTTTTGTTGTGCTCGCCTCTGTTGTCTCCAATCTTTCCATCTATTCCAGTTCCTAACATGATGAATAAACCAAATGTTATTTCTAGTAGTTTAACGCATCTTAAAACATCATCCTATTATCACTTCATAAATTCAAATGGTTTGAAAAGAATATAGAATTTATGTTTTGCATTAAAAAACTATAGTTCAGTAATTTTACTCTCATGGTTAACTATACGTGCCTAGTATAAAAGACAATCATATGTATTCACAATTGACCTTTCAATTAACTTTAGATAGAATTCAATCCAGTTGCTATAGATTCACTCCAGTTGAATGTGGAATAGAGAGATTATTAATTCAAACCAGGTTTGTATACAAAGTTACCAGACAAACAATAGGAAATAAAGTTCCACACTGCAAGCATTTATTAACTGGAAAAGTAATCAACACCGTGCTATGTCTAACAGACCAATAGGTAAAGGATTAAATTTGCATTTTAACATGCATGTTCAGGAAAATGAACAGACGAATG